AAAATTGATGGAAAGGATAAGTATATTCATAAGCAAACAGCTTGTTGGTTTTTTACAGATATTAAACCCCAATTGTCAGCTGACCGATCAAAACGAGTTATGCAAAATGCTCATTAGGTGAGTGAATGGTTACATTTAGTGGTGTTAATGATATACATAGATTAGAATTACTGTTGTATTGTTCTTGTTTCAAGCTTATTTCTCTTTTGTAACACTTGTTTTCGTAATAAAATACGACTAAACTAATATGTTCTGTTGTTTCAGTTGCCTTAACACTCATATTTCACTGTGACATGTCTAAGCGTCTGACGACAAAGAAGTATTTTTCTTCGATGTTTCATGAACAGCCGTGTCGAGTATTTAGTCCTTTTTGAACTTTAGGAAGCCTAACACCAAACATAGGATAAATATTTCGAAGAATCAAGACCTTAAAATCCCGGGAGTACAGTGAAAATCCGAGGAGTATGATGAAAATCCTGGGAGTACGGTGAAAATCCAAGGAATACAAAAGAAATCTGAGAACTCTTCAAAATCTTAGGAATCCTTTTGAAATCTTGGGAGTACGATGAAAATCCAAGAAATCCAGAAAATCCTGGGAGTACGAAATCCGCCGTTTCCCCCTTGTTTGGGGATCTTTAAATGAAAATTCCTATACTAGTCTCTTGCTGCGAATTCAAAAACGTCAAAACACCTACTTGAGGGAATCTGATCATATCATCTACTCTGTTGTCTCTATCCACCCTCTCTATTGCTCTGGTTACTTCGTATAATGTAGTATCAGTGCAAGATCTGGTGACCAAACATGGATTTTGTACAAAATTTGCATATATTTGAACTTTCTGTGTTATTTTATGGCTCGCTATCATACATCGGTGGTACGAAGCAACTTTCCTTAAAATATATTCGTATAGTTTTATCTTGAAGAATGCGCGCTTTTAACCATCAAAAGTTTTCATGAACATGGGTCCTAAAAGATTGAGTGCTACTTTAGGATCAATGTGGTCACTAGAATAAACTCACAGACAGTAGTATAACGCTTGGAATATTTCTAGACAGATTATGAAACCTGACTCTAATTCTTTTCAGTTTAGGAACTACAAAAGCGTGTCTTATTTATCATGTATAAGTATATACATAATACCACCAGGTTGATTTAAATGTCTTTAGGTTAGGCCCTTTAGCGATACTGTACAAAAGACATCATCTAATTGACATGTTGTATAAAGGAGAGACGAGTAATTACATTATTATTTTATATCGAAAGTTCTACGAATGCAACAGAGAAGTCTATGTACATGATCATCAGAAATGTATTACGCTTTATATTTTAAATTGCAGGAATAATTGAACATTAGTTTAGAGAAGTACAAGTTAGAGCAAATAAAATACACTATCCGTGGAGCCGAATAGACTAGATTAATATCAATAGATTACTTGATACTAACCTGTTTTTCAGTTCACCTATTAGAACTACTGTATTTCATGCTAGATGTCGCAGTGACATTTTTGTTAGTAAACTAAACAGTACTCATAAATTTTCAGCTACAAGTACCATACGAATATTATGTATCTCTTTTGTAGGGGTCTGGTCACCAGATCTCCATATTGAAGAATAAGAACAAATTACACATGTCCCCACTACGAGTCTAGTCACCAGATATGATGATTTTTCGATATAATAAAGTTGCAAAATCATCTTCCGTGAGGGTTTCTCGTAATTTTTATTTCTGATACAATACTGCTGAATTTCTTACTACAACAAGCGTATTCGTTTAGTAATCGAGATTTCGTAGTACAACATAGCAGTAGACCAAACAACAAAAGAGAACCTTTCAGAAAGTTGATAAAGAAACTCATATTTTACATCGAACAAGTTCAAAGAAGAAAGAGTGTAAGCAAAAAGTTGCGCAAGAAACAAAAGCACCACTTCGTAATGCGCAGGTTCTGGTCACTAGATACAAAACTAAATAAGAGATATTTCATAACACCAAGAATGAAGATAGAGAATATTTACAACAAAAAAACGACTAAAATGTTCATTCTTGCTTTAGTGTTGATCTCAAACTCTTTTAGCAACCCATTTAGACGCTTCTGACAACAACTTTTTTGAATCAATTTTTCCAGTATTGTACTGATCCCACAATCCTTCCAACGATTCGTTCATTAGAATGGTTTTTGCCGTTTGTTTTCTCTTACGGATCGACCTATTTGCATCGATTTTTGAAACCAGCTGTTGTACTAATAGCTCTTCTTTTTCCAGCCATAATATCAGTTTGTAGAGGTGCGGATGAGCAGATAGTTGAGCATTCATCTTGTTATTATACCCTGTAAATAAGAAAACACTAATAACTATTATTATCTAAATATAAATGTTAGAATCTTTTCTTTAGATACAAGTACTATTGCATTTGGCAATTCATAGACAATCAATGTATTGACAAAATATTCTCTCGTGATTTCTCAATCCTCGAAAAAATTGCCCAGTCTGGTCACCAGAACTCAAGTATTGAAGTCGATGAACATCTGATCTACTTCGATTTTTACATAAATAGTGAACTTCAGAAACAGAGAACGTGTATAGTGCGTAGTTTTTACCTTCAAGTGAATTGTTCGTTCGAATGGATTCGCCAAATACACAAAACTGATGAATTCTTTTCAACCAAAACGATTCGAAATAGTTCAAGAAAGTACGTAAATTTCGACGAACGTCTGTTGGAACACTATTTAACTGTTTCTTGATAAATTCATAATATAATGATCGAATTTGATCACTGGGTACATAAGCCAGTGCCATGACTTGACGCAGAACTTGACGCAGAACTTGGCGCACGATTTCGACGTGTCGATATGCGTCTTGCAGCCCTTTTGCTTGGATGTTACGATGAATGGATTGGGCATAATGGAACGCACATCCAATTAATTTTGTATTTGGTAACTAAAAATGAAAAATCAAGCAAATTGGTGTCCTAATGATGAAAATCATATATCTTGCAAGCGCATTTTTGTTGATATGCAAAAGGTTGAGAGTTTTGAAGAATATTTCTATTCTCGGATTACATTATTTTTATGGCTATCGAATCATGAAGGCACTGCTATCCAACATTAGATATCTTTCAAAGAAGGTCAAGAAATCTCTGTGAAATGGTCTATCGAAATAAGTCTTTCCAAAATGAACGTTGAATTTACTTCTTCTTTAATCGCCTTTACTAATCCATTCTCGTAGTCACTCATCCAAGATGCCGGTTTCCATAATAATTTCAAAGTGTTCATCGCCGTCTTCAGTATTTGCATAATCAGCCGGTATGTTTCGTAACATTTGCTTTCACATAAACAAAATACTACCGGTACTAAAAAACGAAAATGTAAGATAGGGATACAAGTAGAAAAGCACTTCTGGTGACCAGTTCCGGCTTCAGTATTACCAGTGTGGCCTTCTTGATATTCTGCAACGATAATGTAATTTTGTTGACTAGTATAAGATGCCGTCTGGAAAGTTCCATCATTGGCCACACGTTTTGATTTTGCCAGAATGTTTAATTGTAGATCACTAGAAAAAATTAAGATACGGCCTACACGAGCTGGTGCTGATATATATGGCATTAATACAGAGTTGGAATCATATAATAAGAAACGATGTCCTTGATCAGTCATGGTAAATCCTGAGTGTAGTGTAAAATTTGAATTTGTAGGAGACGTTGGCAGGTGGTTCAGACGTATGCGATATAACTGTGCCTCTAGAAATCGAATGAAACTGTTATGCAATGATCAAAGGAACACGGCTAATCTTTTCGCCGTACAATGGAAAAAAGTTCTTTTTCTCTTCTGACAATACTTCATGAACTACAACAAAATAAAAACTGGTCACCAGAATAGTAAGAAAGTTATCCACTTTCGCAACAGTAGGTTTCTATAAGATTACAGATTATTACTTACGAATGTTATAGAAAGTAGGCAAAATCGAAAGCATTTCTTTCGAATATTGTCCTTTCATGAGCTCAGTTTCATAGACCATTCGTGGACTTGATAATTCCTGTCGGCATCGGTTTCGAACACGCTGTTTGAATTTTCTTAATTCAACAGTATGCGGTGTAGGATCATGTATATGCTCTCCTTCAATTGAAAAAATCTTCAACATATCTTTATTTCTTGGATCAGATGTACGAATAAGTATTGTTGAACACTGTCCATTACGTCTACGCTCGCATTCCCATTTGGTGAACAGCTTTCCGTAATTTTTCACCACATATGAGTACCCACCCATACTGAGTATTTTCCCACCAGTTGTTGTTTCGATGATAGTCATACTGCCCTCTACCCAGTACTTAATTGACGAGGGATCAGTTTGAAGAATACGACGTCCAATTTTAATTGGATCTCCTATCTGATAAGGTTTTGTTGGATCGAGTAACTCAATAATCAGTTTTGCACTTAATAAGTTACATTTGTGCATAGAGGATACTTTAAGGCCTGACGACTGTTGTTGTGTCATTGGTGAAGATGACCGTTGCTGGTGAAGGCGATTGTGATGGTGAAGGCGATTGTGAAGAGGCTAGTGTTTCAGTGCACACTTTAAGTATACATGATGACGAGGATTTTGTAACTTCTTCAAATGTTGACTTCGATTCAGGAATGAACAAATGATTTCCCTTGTCCACTGAACATTGTTGTGATGTTGTTAAGTGCAAGTGATGTAAAGATGGATCCATTGTTAAATCTGGTGCATAATACGCTATTTGTTGCATGTGGTGACCAGTTTGAGAAAAAGACAATTTTGGTTGATACGAATAAGTATCATTCACACATGGATACGATGAAGAAGATGGTCTTTGGGATGGTGAAACACCATTTAACGTTTGCATCCTTCTGAAAGATAATATCAGATCCAATTCATCTGCAGATAATAGTTCTGGTCGAGAATGGTACGATGCTGAATACTGATATTGATGCAATGATGGAATACCTTGGTGTGATAGCGATGGTGTCTGAAGAACGGTTAAGTGTTGGTTTTGAACATTACCATAGGTAGCAGGTAAATGTGTTGACGGTAATAATGATGATGATGATAACGAAGACAATGAATCTGGAAGTTGTGCAAGATTATTATTTGTATACATCGTAAAGGACCAATATGAGTATAATCTGAAAGAAAAGAACAATAAAGAACTGCCGGATTGTGTTCATAATTCGACGTGCGTGTACAATCAACGGAATCTTGTTGGATAACTCGCTTTAAAACTGGCAAAAATAAGTTTTCTACTCAGTCTCTACAATCATCGCTTAATCAACGTTACCAATAAAACAACATGCTTTCACAGTACACAATGCTTTATTCCTTGCCTATAATATGTTCTACTTTTCAAAAAAAACAAAGAGAAACGAGGTATAGAATATAAAGAAAAAAAACACACCCTGTGTTCAGTATCTGACAATCAAAGTACATTAAAAAAACACAAAGTTCAGAAGAGGCAATATCAGACTATGTTTACATATTCTTTGCTTTCATAATCGAATTGGTTTTTGTACATAGAAGATTTTTTTTGCTAAATGCCAGTAAAAGAGCTCATGATTTTTTGTGCTTTGGCTTTTTCTTTGATGCTTTTGATAATGTTGAAGAAGCCACTGTAGATTCTTTGACAACACGTAATTTTCTCTTACTTGTAGAAGTACCACTGGAAGTTGCATAAGCATTCTCATTATTTTCGTCAAGTGTGGCTGGAACCATAGCAGCCTGCTGTTTTTGTTTCAGTTTTGTTTTTGAGCGCAAGGCGATTGACCGTCGTCTATAGTTGGAAACAAAAAGAAATCATGAGAACTTATGGAGTATTAAACAGATAGTGTATATACAAGCTATCAAATAAGAACTCACTTTTCTGGTGATAGTTTGTTTACAGTGACGATGTCTACTGTTTTTATCTGATCGTCACGATATCCTTTGTTGTTCTTCAGATGGTGCGATTTCAACACTACTTTGTGTAGAATTTACCGGTTGGCACGAATTTAAGCCAGAAGTATTGTTTGTTGATGTCTGGTTACCTGATAAATCTTCAAAAGTCGAGGCGGATGCCGATAAGGACTCGACTGTAGTTTGTTTTGAGTTCTGAACGAAACTGTTCAGGCCATTAGAAATTTCTACACAAGACGAGTCTGTTTCTAATGATGACGCTCGACTGTTTGTGTGGAGTACGTTTGAATGATTTTCCGTATCTGGAGGCGAAATCGCCAGAATCTAACAATAATCATAGACAGAAAACAGAAATAAACCTACACATATGTGTATGCGAATATATTCTGGTCACCAGAAGCTACAATTCGCTACTGCAAAAAGTACACATACCGAATTTATGTTTGATGTTTCTCCATGTTTCGCCATAAGATCGATGTTTTTATTCTTACTTTGAGGAATAAAGCTTCTGGAATCTTCATTTGAATAAATTGGTGACAAAGAAAGGTTTTCGTTAATCACGACTTCTTCATGAAGCACTGTACTGGTAATCATCGGATTGTTTTGTATATCCACATCGTTGTTGGAAAGATCAATCGCTTCCTATACGAAAGTAGAAATCAAAAGTTAAATTTAGAAACTGAATACCGTTTTGTAAAAGAAAAAGAACAAGAAACTAAGTAGTTAAGATCAACACTTTCGACTGCTTGTAGCTTTCTCATTCATTCGAACTCAGATCGACACTAGGTTGACTCGATTTGATTCGTCTTGAAAGAAAACTTCGATTAGTAGTTGATTAGATTATTATTTATGAAAATTTTGATTCAATTAGTCCTCATACCACTAACCTGAGTCGTTTGATGATCTTGAGTATCGCCGGTAGTTTGTCGATCATCATCTGCTGTTCTCGGTTCAGTCTAAAGAAGAAAGTATCGACCATTTTTGTGTCCTCTGAGAATCATATGGTCAAATAGTTACAAAGTAACATCTTACTGTGTCGTTTTTGTTACGACATTGATCATGAAGGCCATATTTGTTCAATTAACAATCATTGCAATAAAAGCAAGTGTGGTGACCAGAACTAGAAAAATCATACGCTTACCTTATTGCCAGGTTCCCTTTTGTATGGTACCAGAATTTCACTTGGAATTGGTATTGATCTGGTGGGTTCCACTGCAACCAGTGGGCCTGGTCCGTAGTACTCGTACACTCTATAAGTGAAATACATATAGAACCAGAAGAATATTTTGATATGAGATTGTGACTTACGATCGTTTTGATGTCGGAGACACGAAATGTGGATTTGGGACGATGTCGATGCAGCTACTGACGAGTTGAACGAGGTCATTTGCACGTTCTTTTGTGATTTCCACATTTTGAATATCCATGATTGTCTTTAATTGAACTCCACTTAATAGTGTACCGTGATCACGACCATAGCTTAAAATGCTATTCACACATTCTTTCGCCTCGTTAATCTTGTTGTAATATTCATAGATGCCTCCTATCGAAAAAGAAATACCAGCGGTGAACTTATAGGCCTGATGAAAAATTTGTTTGAAAACACACCATTCTTTGATCCACCTCGCCAGGCTATGGAGCGTTTCGTTGTACCACCGGTAGACGCTAAAAAACACGAGAAAAAAGTATTTTTCGTCAATGATGTAAATTGTTCACAATAAAATCTAACAAATCGATTATAAGGAGTGAACACCGCTTCGTTTCATTTTGCACTTATCGAACAAAGTATCGATTTCATTCCCGCGAGAACATACCATTTATTTCTTTTGCTTCGTCTTCAGATGGATCGCCAACACTCGGTTCCATATCATCAGTATTACCTATATTTGCAACAAAAAAAAACATTTTAGATTTTCACTTTACAGAAGGCAGTTTCAAGATTTGTAGGTATATCACAGCATCCTATCAAATATATGGCAGTATTCACTTACTAATGGCACGCTTCTTCTTCTTTTTTGATGTTTTCATTTTCATCACCGTATCAACATACAAATACAAGGTTCCATTCATCAAGAAGATCTGTTGTGTTGCTGTTGTTCGTTTTTTATTTCCTTTGTATAAGATTGTTGAGTTCATTGATGTTTTTCGGCATCGTTGGTAGAACTCGTTAATACTGCCTTTTACTTCATCACTGCCTGTAGTGCCTGGAAAGTCACACAAAGTTTTTTTGTACGACGGTAAGTGTTCCAAAACATAGTTTTCAACATCGACTAGGACAAAATTACGAAATAACACATAAAGAATGAGATCACGTATGATTTTTCAATATTTGGGATCTGGTCACCAGAAACATAGGTCACTAAGCAGTATTGTCAATAAAATTTACTCAGTTACAGGGTGTCCCAAAAGTCCGCCGAAAAGTTTTTTGTATATATTTCTTATATAAATCAATCAATTAGACTTTTCTTTTTTATCATATAATAGTATGCTCTTTCAAGTTTTATTTCATATATTTTTAGATAAATGTCTGTTCCCACAAACATCAGAATAAAAACAGTTTTGTTAATGGCTAAATTTGAATCACCCACGATTGTCGAGAGAAAACTGAAGGCCGAATTTGGAAACAATGCACCAAAAAAAGATTGCATTATAGCAACATTTCAACGCTTTTGTGATACCGGTTCTGTCGAAGATCAAAAACGCTCAGGAAGACCTTCAACAGTTACAGAAGAAAAGGTTGAAGAAGTTCGTGAAGCTATCGATGATCAACCACTGTCAAGTGTTCGGGCGATTGCAACAGATTGCTCCATATCAAAAACAACAGCACATCGAATTATGACTGAATATCTGTTACTAAAGCCTTATAAAGCGCAATTTGTTCAACAGCTATTCGAAGAAGACCTACAGGATAGAGTTGAAATGTGTAAAATTCTGATTCCTATGTTACAAGATAATGCAATTCAAGAAAATATCTTTTTTTCCGATGAAGCTGTTTTCTATTTAAATGGTTTAGTTAACAAACATAACATTAGATATTGGTCAGAACGTAACCCAAATGTCACAATTGAAACGGTTATGAAGTCGCCAAAGATAAATGTTTGGTGCGCCATGTCGAAATATCGATTAATTGGACCATTTTACTTTGAAGAAGACACTGTTTATGGAAAGAATTATTTGTCAATGCTTCAAGATTTTTTTCTTCCCGAGATTAGAAAGCTTCATAAGGTTCGATCTGCTATATTTCAGCAAGATGGAGCTCCTGCTCATTTCTCTGCCGATGTGCGACATTATCTCAATAAACAATTTCCTGACAGGTGGATTGGAAGAGGTGGCTCAATTCGGTGGGCTCCACGCTCACCAGATTTAACACCTCTTGATTTTTATCTTTGGGGACATCTAAAGAACAATGTTTACAAATCTCCAATTAATGATTTGGATGAATTGAAAACAAGAATTGATAATGAAATTAAATCAATTTCAAAAACAACTCTGAGTAATGTTTTTTCAAATATTATTAAAAGGATGGAATTATGTATTTCAGTTGATGGAGATCATTTCGAACATTTGTTGTAAACTATTTTTCTATGAAATAAAACTTGAAAGAGCATACTATCATATGATAAAAAAGAAAAGTCAAATTGATTGATTTATATAAGAAATATATACAAAAAACTTTTCGGCGGACTTTTGGGACACCCTGTATATTTCCTCTGGTGACCAGATATAGCGTTTCTATACGAAGAAAGTGAGACGATTATTCTCTTCAAAAATAGTTAAAACATCGAAAATATAATGAATAAGAAACTTACATTGGTTTTTCAAGTTCTTTTTATAAAGTATCATTGACGGTGTGTTTAAAAATCGGTCGATGCCACCACTTTCTTCTATAGAAGTATGTAGATCATATTGTGCATCGCTCTCATGTCGGTTATCATGATTCAAATTGAATTCCGGATCGGTAGTTGTTGCTTTTGTCTTAGGTTTTGTTTTCTTTTCTTTTGCTGATGTCGATGGTGATTCACTTTTATCACTTGACGATTGAACAACATTTAGTTCAACAGTACGCGAAGCAGATGCTGAGTTTCCATTATTACCAATAATCATGTCGACGACCGCTAATGGTAACGTTGAAGGTACAGTATCATTACGTGTATGGTTAGATAATGATTGATCCACAGTTGTTAAATTTGAATTTGAACTTGTAGTATTGGTCGGTTTTATTGCCAATGATAACCGTGCCTTTGGATAATCTTCTGTTGTTGTTTTCTTTGATTTTTGGCCTGCTCGTTTCGTTCTAGCCATAATAATATGGAAGCGCCCAGAAGAATTGTCTTCTTTAATGAATATGAGTTAAGAAAACAACTGGTCTAAACAAAAATAAAATGGACACAAAAAGCAATAGAGCGATATTTCTGGTCTGGTCACCAGAAGTGCTAATTATTCCTATATCTCAAAAGTAGCTCTAGTAACGCGTATATGAAGATGAACGCATAAAAAGACTCCACTTGAGAATTTAGCTTCCATCAGTCATTCGATAATAAAATTGTGATCTTTTCAGTTGATATATATATATATTGATTCAAGAAAGGTGCAAGATAAGTTCAACCCGAGTTTCACCTAGTTTATTGAGGTCTATTCTGACGATGAGTAAAAAACTTTTTACAGATATTGTTATTATTCTCTTAATCCTAACGAAAGTCTTGATTTTCGTGAAGACACTGCAAATATCAGAACAAGCATCCTATGTTACTATGAGGATATGAAAATCTATCATATGTCATCATTCGAAGTTAATGGAAAGTATTTGACTGAAAGCATTAAAAAGAGCACAGTAAGATCATACCTGACTAATTTGATATCACAGTGAAAGTGCACTTCTACAGTTTTGTATTGCTTGCTGATTTTACTACAAACAATTATGCCTAAATGATTTTACTACTAGACTATTTATAGTCGCGTCGTCGTCCAAAATGTTCTACTCTTGTACTTGTTTGGCCGTTTTCCTACACGTTCTAAACCGGCTAGGCAATGAAAACAATTTTCTGGTCAACAAAGCAGACTAAATACACTAGATACACTTGTTTAGTATGATAGTAAAACGTTCACATTAATAGTCAGGAACTGTACATATCTTCTTTTTCTTCTTTCTTTCTATTCTAACAAATGTCGAGGCACATGGTGCTTATAGAATGTATATTTTCTTCGTTCGCTAGACACTACTATATCCACTTGGTCTGTTAACGTTCATTTGAAACATAAGAAACTTTGAAAGAAACAAATCAAGTTAACGTACAATAAAATATGCTGAATTTAAAGCAAGTATTTCTGGTAGCCAGAACAATGTATTGCAGTTTTAGCGAGAAGTTATCAGCACTGAATGTGAAGCTTTCTACCTATACAGCAATCAAAAGTTCATTCTGGTTGCTACGAAACACTTTCTCATGCACTAAATATTATTATTATATCAGTAAAATGAAATGTGTCATATTTTAATGTTTTCTCCGCACCAGTTAGAAAAATGATTATGTCATTTCTGAATCGTGCTACTACTACTTTAATCACGTCGTCGCCTGCCTACAGGAGCGCTAAAGATGATTGAGGAAAGTCGTTCTTACATTCTGAAAAGGATACCAAAATCGAATACATGAACACGTAGTTAGCAAAATATCGATAGAAATCTTCTAAATTTTCCGAATTAGTTCATATCTTCAAAACCACCATACAAAGTATTACCTCTATCTGAAACATATACATTTACCTTTCTGGCAAATTATCGTTTACACAGAATCGTTGTTCTTAGGCGAGTTCTATATAAAGAAACTTCAGCAAAGATGTTAGTTCTGGTAACCACAAATGACTTTTATTCAGCAAGCTCTCAATTCGAGCATACTCTCAGGAATGTCGATGTGGTATATCAGAGCCGAAACATCTGATGAATGTGCTAGCAAATGAATCTATTTTTTATCGATGTCATTTACTAAAGATCCACTGACCTATATAGCTCCCTAAAATATCAAATCTGGTGGCCAGAAATGGTGGTTCATCAGACTCTAAATAGAGCAGCAATGTGATTTTCCTTTTAATGAACAGTGATGACAACTCTGGTTACCAGATTCGACAAAAAGTAAGATTTCCAAATCTATATCTTATGTCTCTTGTGGCTGAAATCAGATCTCATAATGCATTGCATTATGCCAGCAATATATTTCTGGTGGCCAGGCTTGCAATTGCGAGATATTACCCAGAAATCGATTGACATTGTCTTAGAGTCTGGCAACCAGAGTTGTCATCACTGTTCATTAAAAGGAAAATCACATTGCTGCTCTATTTAGAGTCTGATGAACCACCATTTCTGGTCACCAGATTTNGCAGGAGGAAGGATAATGCGTCAAACTGATATCGCAAATAAAACAAGTTGATGTTTGTACGTACGTTTAGTCACATTATTATCATATAGTATCATATATTTTTAAGGGCTGATCGAAGGCTTATCGAGGACGACAAATACGAATATGATGATAGTTTTGCTTAATTACTAATTAGTCGTTAATTCTTATTTTTCAATAAAGCTTGACTAAAACGTAATCAGAATCGAGAGATCTGAATCTGGCTTTATCTTTTGTAAACCGCTTTCTCAAGTTTTCTCTGGCACTTAACACACAAGAAAAGCAACTGTGTTGTTGGAATTTAAGAAACAATTATGAGCGGCTTAAAATGGTACTCTGGAGCTGGCATTTTCTGATTCATTATAATGGTGTGTAGCTCTTTTACCTTTCTATGCTGTACAGAAAGATTAATGCATATTTTTGTCCAATTATCTACGGTAGTCAATCACCCAGGTCGACCAATCCCATACTCGGATCCGATCAAATTCCATGCTGGATCGTATCGAAACTCGGCGATGCGGCAAAATTCTATCGGATTCCCGGTGACGGTGTTGCTTTAGATTCCATCGATGTCGGATCCTATCGGACACAGTATTGAATTTAGTCGAATCCGAAAGACAGATTTTATAGGTTCCTAGGGTCATCATAGAATATAAGGTTGGGCTAATGCAAAACTCGAGCAAATTTTTTTTAGTGAACTTTTTATGGAATCCGATGCTGTCTGATACGCTGCATCCGAATATGTATGATATATTTAGATAAAGAGCTTTCTTCCCGCTGGAAATCGAAAAATACTGCAAAAATCGATGGTTTCAGAAAAACAGGTTTTCTACCAGGATTTTGACGATAGGGCTTCGAAAAAATTTACTATAGCTTTGAAAGTTTTTTCTTCTGATTCAGCATTGAAAACTGATTGTAGGACACTACTTTTTGATCGCTCAGTGCATATCTTTATCATCAAAGAAATTGATTTCTGTTCAAAAATCGACTGGTCGAGTGAGTCAGATTAAAAATACATCAACTCATTTTCTAATTAAGATATAGACTTTTTTTCTTCCACCGTTCGACTCTTTAGATGCCCTAGATATAATCTACGTATTATCTTTCCTTAACTCACTTTCTTTCTCAATATTTCCGTGGTATTTCGCGACGTCTCCTGTCATACATGTGTTTTTGATGTTTACCAGCATTTTGCACGATTTTTTTTGTTTCCTAATGAAATATGATGTTTATAATGATACAGATCTTTATATTAGTCACTTAGAAAATCTATCAAACAACTTTTCAAATATCCATAGATATATTTGACTGTACTCTGAAGTGATATTTTCTCAATTAAGCTTTGAAGAAATATTAGTAATAGCAGATCCAATTAGTTTGAAAGAAATGATGTTTTCGTATTTACTAAATAGCGATAATAAAATCTATTTTAACAAAAAAAGGAAACAGATCGCTGCATAAATGTGTTAAGCAGTAGAATCAGTTGTTTGAGTTGGAATTAATAATTTGACGGTGTGAAATGACGTTAGCTTTGTACATTGAACTGAAATACATCTTGAGAACGTAGTCATAAGAATCACCACGTTCGTAAGCAGCTAAAGTACGCCAAAATCTCCTCATTAATTTCAAAGAAACATTCTTCTGGATGAAATTTATTCTTGATTTGTTAATTAATTTGACCATGGTGGGGAATGTTTGGTCTATTCGATGTCGAACGAATTGTTTTTGGTGAGCCCATAATTCTTCTGTAGGATTTAACTCGTAATGGAACTTCGGCGAGAAACTAACTGCTACACCATAGTCATTAGCAACCATCTCTAATTTTGAAATCTAAAACCGAACGTAATAGATTACCATATCAATGGCTTAAAAAATGATTATCATTAATAGAAAGCTTACGTTCTTGAATGCATCGTGTGAATTTAGAAATTTTTCAGCTCTTCTGATCGTATATTAGATGGAATTTTAATACCAAGTTCTTTTGCCAAGATGAGTAGGCCTTGTGATTGTCCTTTGTTGCTACTAGTTGCAAAAAAAACAGTCGATAGATTGTTTTTTACCCTCTTCAGCTCTGTAGAATATTTTATCAGGTTTACAACGCGTACCAGGCTTCATTCCAAAATATTCAACCGAATAATGTTTAGCACTGTGAGTAAGCGCATTATCCACAATAACACGAAACTTATGATTTGCATGAGCTTGTTTAAATGGTAACATTTTGAACAAAAAAGTAAATTGATTGATGACTAGGGGTGGACCATTTATTTAATTTAGTTCCACTTAATTAACTCATAAACGGTTAAATAATCATCATCTGTGATCCCTTCTGACAACTAATTATCTATACGACCCAGCAATAATTACATGTACCCTGGTAAGATACTCACCTCTCTGGTTAATGCTACCGTGGGAACCAGTCTTGGAAAAAGCCTTTATTCCAAGGTGCATTCCAGCGAATTCTGATTGGTCAATTCCGGTCAATCAGCGAGGACCGCGATTTTTTATTGAAAACTTATTTTCACTCGAAATCCATCCGGAAGGCCTTATATAAGGATGTTTTTTTTGACCTCTGATTGTATTTGGCCTGCAGAGATCGGTATTGGTTGTTCATTTTCTTACAAGTCGGCAGCGTTTGACTCCGCTTATGGTATATTAACCATGGGCATTTGAGTTTTCCTTCATGAATCTATATTTGCATAGTCAGGAGGGATCTGCAATTGCCTCTGAAGCAACAGAAGATCTTTCTTATACGTTAATCACTTAATAAAGTGGAAATGAACGGTTAAGTATAACCCGTTAATCGTTAATATTAACGTTAACATCAACCGTTAACGTTAATATTAACGGTTAACGTGTTACTGTTTACGTTAATTTCAAATTAACGGAAATGGTCCACCCCTAGACTGCTGTTTCCCCACTTCTAAAACATGATGCGTCGTGACCTATAGAAAAGAAAAGAATTTCTATCTTTTTAAGCTATTAGCAAAATAAATCTTTACATGTCAGAACGGTTGGACTTTTCTTTGGTGCTTTCCATTGCGAATCTTTCCCTTCTTCGAGTCGATAATATTTGTCCTGATTCGTTAGAAAATTTCGAACATATTTTGCTCGAACTTCAACAACATCCGGTCTTTCATGACCTTTCCAGTAAGGCTTAGCAGTATTCTTATCGAATTTACAGCCCCAACGATGTAAATCAAGACGGCAAGCTTTTTCTGATCGAACTAGTTGTGGCACGTTTTTCACCTATATGCAATATACAAGAAAACATAATTATATGGTAAAAGAAGTCAGAGATGTAACATCTGAGAGAGATTTATTTGAAATTTTAAAGAGCCGTCAATTTATGTTGTTTTTGAAAGTAAATCTTACCTGTCCAGTTAGAGCATAATATTGATCATCTAAATATTCTGCAAGTTCCTAACACGTAAACGATGCGGCCTTTCTTTTGTACGCCTCTACGGCGTATATCTTGGCCAAAGATTCTAATTCAGGATATATATCAAAAAAACTTTCACTATGTTTACCACCTCTATTGTCCTCTAAAAACTCTTCTAGGTCTTCTTCAATTAATATTCTACTCCGTTTGTTACAACTTTCAGCACTGAGTCCACCAATGTCTTTCAGAAATGAATCAATTTTTCGCCAAGGAATATCGAAACACATTAATGATAGATGAAGTAACACGGATAAAGATCGTAACGAAGTATCTTATTTGAGAATTTCGAATGAATTTCCAATATCCAAAATATTGATGTTATTTTTTAAGATATCTTGTGTTTTGTTTTCATCTATATCAGGCACATTGATGGAAATTTTCGGATTAAAAAAAACATCGCCTGATTGATCGATACTTTCCTTTGCCCAACGGCTTCTAATAGCTGCGACTGATTGAGACCTTCTTTTCGATTTTTGAGGCATAATAATAAATAACAAGAATTACAAGGTCGACCAATGATAGAAAATGAAGCAGATACAAGCAATTTTTTTAAAGAAAGTCTTCACTCAGTATTAATCATAGGTTTCAAGTTAATGGATGCGCGTGCCTATGGATAGTATACAAACGAATAGATAAACTAAAATATCTTTGAGAGACTGATGTGTAAAGAGATCACTAGGTATTGATACGGTTCCATAGAGCACAGACGGTGTGTAATGAACCACGAACGTTTGAAAAGTTGTTTGATAGATTTTCTAAGTGACTAATATAAAGATCTGTATCATTATAAACATCATATTTCATTAGGAAACAAAAAAAATCGTGCAAAATGCTGGTA